CACTGCCTCACCCCACCCCATTCCTCCTCTGCCCACTCACTGTCGAACGTCCACTGACTCACTGACATTGGGGTGTCAGTCGGTGCAATGTGCAATCGCAGCGTGCAGGATAATGCGACACAGGTGCCAAGGCAACACGTGCCCAGGCAGCGTGTTTTGTTCAAATGGAAACTACGCAAACAATAAAGTTCCTAATTGATGTGACTATGTCACATAACCACACTCAGCCCCCTTCCCCACACAATCGACCAACTCAACAAATTGTAAGCAGCAGCGTTTTACAATGGAATACCAATAAAAAGAAAAAAAAAAAACAACAAAGTAAGCTCAATCGAAACGAACTCAAGCGAGTTCAGCGTTTACCCTAACCCTCTTCAGAAGCACACGTAACTATTTGACGCATAAGCACTTGCAGGCATCCGCAGGCCGCATGTGACTTACACACGCACATACATATACCCATGATTGTGTAAGCTTCTCAGCGGGAGCATAGAAATCTACAAAATTGATTTTTTTAGACTATGCCATGGACACCCCCAATCCCCAATGCCGTCTTAGCATATCCTTGAAAGACACTGCGAGAAATGGGGCAGCTTCTATGGCCATGCAGAATGAACGGAGAATGAACTAAAGAAATAAATGACATCGATTTCCGAGTCCAATATAATGTAGCTAATTGACTGTGTGTGCGTGTGTATCAATGCTATGGGAGCAACAAAAAGTGTTGCATACTTTTGAGCGCACACCTTAAATTCCGTGCGCTTAAAATGCAACAAGTAAGGCGCAAATATAATATAAAAAAAATATTTGCCAAATCTATTGAGTGCATTTTAAACTAAATCTGTCTACTAAATTTACAACAATACAAACTTTACTTTTAATATATATTATTTGCCTAAAAACAGTTCACCAATAAGGTGAACTCTTCTCAGCTCCGCATTGAGCTAAGCTAGGATCAATATTTAAAAGCCAACCTTCTCAGCTTATGGTATTATTAATTAACAAACTAAAATTATTTCATTTATTGTAATATAGTTTTATTTTAATTAAAATAAAATAATTTAATTATTTTTGATTCTTTAGCTATAGCTCGAACTTTTAAATCAACTCCATGACGATCTATAAAAATACATGACTCATTTTCATTAATTTATCCCTATATATCTGTCTACATACATATATTTTCATGTTTGCACCCATTCTAATGCTGTGGAAGTACAACCCCGATCCCATTTCCGCTAGCAGTTATGAAACCAAATACACTTTCAAAGAAGGCTTACATAAAATTTGTTTCACAAACAGCAAAAGATAAAAAATAAAATAAAGATAACAAATGATATGCGCATTGGATTTCAACTAATCAAAATGCGTTTTTATTCTCTCGCAAAGGAAAATTCATTCAAAAAACCTTTCGAATATTTTACATTTGATACGGTGCTCAAGCTACTTTTTTCACGGCATATTGGTACAATGCAAATGACACAATGTGATGGCAGGGAGAGAACAATATTTTCTAGCTGTCAAAATATAAATAGCTCATTGTCTAGATGGATGTCTAAAGCAGATTCATGCCCACAAGTCTAGCCTGCCTTCAACTGCAGACGACAGAATACCCTTTAACAAAGTTGCAAAATGGGGTGATTTGGCTTTACTGTTTTGCTGGGGTTTGTTTAAAAAAGAAAGAAACCCAAGAACGAAACAAAAAAAAAAACAAAAGACTAATTAAAGTACTCAAGCAAAAGGCATTAAATGGGAATTATTAAAAATTTACAGAAATAAATGCGTAAAATAAATTCAAAATCTTCCATTTACCTATTTTTGAGTAGAGAAGAACAAATCGTGTATTGAGAGAATATTGGTTAAAAGGAATACTCCTGATTATATGATGGAATTATTGATTGCAATGATGTACACATCAGAACCTAATAATAAATATTGAAATCTATGACGAATCGAAGCTCCCTCGAAAAGTATCATATGCTACTCTGTCAAGCTGGTTCAACGACTGCAGCTCAGAGGCCTTATTTCGCTGAGCTGTTTGAATTTATTAAAAGAGTCTATTTGAATATTTAGAGTGTGCAGGTTATATAATGATTAACATATTTCCGCATAAGAACTCGAAGCTAAGCTGTCTGCAAAAGAAAACCCAAGCAACGCATCGTTTAATTTTAAAATTATGCATCGTCAGCGAATTGGCTAATTATTTAAATTTGGCGCGTTTAAAGCCGAAAGCTTTGCAGGGGTGAGCTTTTATCAAAAGCTCTGCGTAGTGGGCTACGTCGTAGCACACTGTGATAGGTCGTGTACTTGCCGGATGCATATATTAACTAACTAATAGATTAACTTACCCGATTTCGTTTTGTGTTTTTTGCAGCTGCAAGTTATTTCACAGTGGTTCAAATGTGATTTGTTTTGAAAGGGGGTTTTTCAGTTTTTTGTTGAGCTGCGTTAAAAAAAAAGAATAGAAGAATATACATGAAATACTGTTAATATAGTTTTGTTATAATATGGCACTTTGTTTCATATCACTGCAAGAGCATTTAAAAAATAAATTTACTTAAATTCAATGTATTTGTTGTTAATTTTTTCAATCTATGTATCATATGCATTGCATTTTAATTATAGTATTCTTGTAAGCTATTTCGCATGATTTGTGCAATCTACGTATTTCAAGTTGAACTTACGTAAAATGCAAAAAGAACAACAACAATAATAATAAACTACAACACAATTTTGCACATTTATCTATTATTGAGAGAAACAAAAAACAACATATTTTCCACTGACATCAACACAAGCACAAAAATATACACACTAACAACTGTATTTAGTTGCCGCAAATATTTAATTTTAATTATTATTCAAGAGTTGCACATACCACAAGCTCAATTGGTTGAATATATTCAACAATAATATATCAAATGATGTTTAATATATAAAATATATTTTTTGGATAAGTCTCAAGTGTTTGTATTTATTCTAGAAATTGTTGCGAGACGCGAGAACACGAACCGTTTGCCTAAAGCGAACAAAGTTGAATGCTCAATATATTTGCATTGGGCTCCAGTCGACGTCTCCAAATGCAGCGAACCGAAGCTTCCACTCACACACACGGGCACGCGCCCGTTCGCATTCACATTGCACTAGCATGAGACGTAAAAGCTGCGCGGCCACAAGTTGCCGTTGTGCCGGCCGCTGGCTGTGTGTGTGTTCGTGTGCCTGTGTGCGCCAAAGCTTTACTGTTCTAAATGTTTGCTTCTCACTCGCGCTCACGCTCTGCTAGGGGGCTCGAGCCGCTCACGTGTAGCAGCAACGTGCGGCAAGTTTGTGTGTCTGTGGTGCACTGTCTGCGCAAGTGTGTGTGTCTGCTTGTGTCTTTATCTGTGTGTGTGTGTGTGTGAATGCACAGCAAGCACAATCAATAAAATAGCAAACCGTTAAACAATTAAACAGCCTACGCTATTTGCTGCCTGCTATGCTCTCTATTGATTCTTGGTGTTGGTGAGGGTGTTGATGGTGTTCGTGGTTGCACCCACGCTCTTGTTACCTAACAGTGTTGCCTTTGGGCTACATTTACACAACATCCAGTCAACAGTTGGTCAATTAACGCGGCGTATGCGCAATGTGCAAATGTAGAAAAAAACTCAGATCACGTCGTCCAGCTGGTCAGCGGCGCGAGCCCCGAGCACGTCAGCTCTACGCGGCTGCAATAGAACTAATGACGAGCCCAGATCGGACACATAATCACGATCACAAGCAACAGACGAACGATCGACGTATGTATATGTATATATGTATGTATATATGTGCATCTCCAGTTGCATGCGAAAAATACTTACAATGCCATTTGCTTGCATAGAATCGTTACCTAATCAAAGTAAGTTCTTAACGAATTCAGCTTACATGTACATATCTCTATTTGTGCGTGAATGTGTGCGTATCTGTGTGTGTGTGTGTGCATGATCATTATCAAGTTCAGGGCGCGAGATATCGTAAACAACTTTCAATATCATTCACAGAACAGCTAAAAGTGTTATTTGCAAAAAAGATCAACGTGTGACAGGACTTATTAAGTGCTTAAAATAATATTTTTTTAAATATATATACATATTTAACATTTATAATATTAATTTATGCAATTATTCATAAAATATGTATATCAAATTGGGTATTAAAATAACTTTATCTTTAAAAATTTCTCTCATGTTACCTATTAACATTTATAGTTTATAGTAAATTTTTATTTAATTTGATTTCTTATTGCTGAGCTTGACTTAGCGAAAGACTGTGACTATGTGGACGTTGTTTTCTATACAAGGTTCAATGTGTACAGTGCAAGCATTATTTTTCCATGATAATGATATGAGCATTTCCCAATTAACAGAAACAGACTTTAAATAATTATTATTATTATTATTACTATTTCATTATATTGAACCTTTTTCGGAGAATGTTGTTTTGAGCATAATATTAATTGTGAATAAAAGTAGGATAAATTCATTTTTATAGTGTTCGATTTAGATCGTTATGTGTTTTTTCCCCCAAATATATGTTTAATATTCAAGTGCACATTTCGAAGGAAATTCATTCAGATTTACACACTTTTTAAGATATTCTTTAGCCATACTTAATAATTCGCTTTAAAGACTTTATTTTAATTTTATTGCTTATAATGTTAAAGTTGGTTAAAGGAATACAGAAATGAAAATTGATATGTGACTCATTTCACAAGTAATAAAAATTGGATGTTTTTAATTGCAATTTCTTATATAAATGAATACATTTTTGATATGGTTTGGCAGAAAGCAGACGAAAAATAAATCAATAAAACGGCAATCAAATAGTTATATTTCCATAAAAGATTGTGCAAGAGGTGAATAACAATGCACGCGCTAAGTTGTTATTAAACTGAATAATCAACAACAAAAAACTTAAAGCTGTTCGCGCTGTCGTATGCGTAATATTGATTGTGTAAGCGCCCATGAAAGTGGAGGGGCATTTGCTAATAGAAAGGGCTAGGCAAAACAGCAGGAAACCGGGCGGCCTATAGACATCCCCCTTCAGGGACCTGCCAGACATGCCCCACACTCAAAAACTTCATAACAGATTCTAGAAGCTTCAGCACATGAATGCCGCACGTGGGACGCGAAGAGTGGGTGGGTGGGATTTATGTGGCTTATAAAACAGAAGAACAAACAAATAAGAAATAAAGAAACCCCTTGTCAAGCCGTTGACATGCGTGGCCATAATGTGAACATCGCAATAAGGTCGCGTGTTTGGCGGTTCGAGAGCGCGTGCTGATGCTTTAAGGAACACATGAGTGATGAGGATTTGGAATGGTTGCTGTTGTTGTTGGTCATTTATTGAGATAGTTCATTAGCTAGATGCCGCTGTGCTCCTTGATCCAGTTACGCGCCTGGGCCACTCTGGAGTAGACACCGGGGTAGTCGGGCTTGGCGCAGCCGTAGCCCCAGGATACGACGCCCACAAGGACACCCGCCTCGTTGACCATGGGACCGCCGGAGTCGCCCTGGCAGGCATCCTTGCCGCCCGCCATGTAGCCTGCACAGATCATGCGCTCCGTAATGCCGCCGTATAGCTTGTACTTGTCGCTGCAGACCTGCTGATTGACCAGCGGCACCTGCACCTGGCGCAGCCACTCGCGTGGCTCGAGCAGATTTTGTGTGTTGCCCCAGCCGCTGACAAAGCACGGATCACCGTCCGCAAACATTTCATCCGGCTCCGGCAGCTTGATGGCCTTTTTGGTCTCATCAAATTCGATCGGTTCCCGCAGCTGCAGCAACGAGAAATCGTAGTCGACATTCGTAAAGTTGAACTTTTCGTGTTGCACAATCTTCTGCACGTGCAACAGCTGCCCATACCGCGAGAATTCCGAGCTGCCCAATCGAACGCGCAGCCGATCCGCAGTTTTGCCCCTATAAGTGTCAGGATGGGACTAAATTAAAAGCTGCCACTGGCAAAAGGCTGACCGTGCTACTCACTCGGTGCAATGAGCCGCCGTTAGTATCCACTGTTCGGAGATCAACGAGCCGCCGCAGATATGAGCCGATGTTTGCAACGAGATTTGATGGGGCGCATCCGTTATGTTTATGCGTCGACCGCCCACAATGCGGCCATCGAGCCGCGGACGCCTGCTCCACAGCTCATCCATTAGCGAACGTTGCCGCTTGACGGGCTCGGGTATTAGGCACACGCCGGCCACGACTATTACGGCAGCCTGGAGCAGTAAAAGAATCACAAATTTCTCTAACAACATTTTAAGTGTGGCTTTGAAAAAAGGCCCTCGGCTTTTATAGGCCCGGCCCAGACCCTGAATGGGCTGCCTTAGCCGATAGCCACCCACTGAGCCACAAACAACCCACTGAGACGCTATCTGACATGCCCCACAAATAGCATACTGAAATAGTTGGACAAGAAAGCAAGCTTTAACTTAATGAATTGTAGATACACTCACTCGCACAGATCTCACAAGGCGCAAACCTTATATTAATACAAATTAAATTCAAGTCTAGACAACAAAGCAATTATTTCCTGAATTATTATTAGATTATACACTGCTGACAATATTTTTTACTCGAGTCTTACTCACTATGTCTAACCTTTATTTTACTCAAGCATAATTTTGTCATTACTTCAAGGCTTTATAAACTTTAGTTAAATAAACATCTTATACGTTTTTTATTTTTTTTCAAATTGAAAACAGATATTCGAGAACCAAAGTTTTGAACATATTATTCTTAGCCCGTCGCTACTTTAATCCAAAGACATACAAATGGCGTCCAAAAAAGTATTACGGGACGTGATTAGCTTTTTTAGCTTTAAGTATCATGTGTAGCAGTATATAATCAGTATTTGCTATTTCACATTGAGCTCCACCTCTGCTAAGGCTTATAAGGCAGCCAATATACCCGATACCCTAGCAGAGCATTTAATCCCCAATAGACCTAGATTATATTTAACTAGATCAAGAGTATTTACGCATAATGGATTTTGGTATATACTTAAGCACATAGCAAAGTAAGGTATTCATTTATAGCCAACAATTGTTTTACAATGTGCCAATTCCAAATTCATTTATAAATTAAGACGCGTGACCAGAACGGAGATGTTCTCTACTCGACCACATAGATTAGATTGCGTCCGACCTCGGCCAGTTTGCCAGCTTGATCGACGCTCACTCGTTTTGCCGCCACATCCAGCACAAAGTTGCCTTCGCTCAGCTGTGACTTGCCAGTCTTGTAGTCCTGGAAATTGGGCAGCTTGCGTGGACCCAACAGGGGATCCTCATAGCGCCAGATTTGGAGCGTGGAAATGTCTGTTTTCAGGCCAATAATTTTGGCCAGTTTTTCACGCAGTGTCTGCACCGTATCGCCCTCGGATATGATGGTGTTCACCTGAAACAGAGAGGAGCGTTCCGTGGGATTGACCAGTTCTACACTGATATGCGGGGCAGCGCTGAACAAAATGAAAGGCGAGCCGGGACGCACTTCTTCGCGCGTCTTCTCAGGTGCTGAGGGATCATCAGTGTACTTGATTTCCAGGCTGTCCAGCTGAGTAAGAAGTATTTTTTTAGATAAGTAGAGTAATCTAGTAAAACCGCTTAGCTACTCACATCCAAGGTATTCTTAAGATAATCCAGATTGCTGAGCAGCACCTGCCGCTCATCGAACTCCAAGGTGACAGCTAGTGCGGCCACGCCCTTGCCGCCCGTTTCTACCTTCTCGCGTATCATTTGTGCAAAGGGCATCACGCGCTTCAAGAACTTCTTCAGCTCGGGCTTCTGCTGCAGCGTGGCCGCAATGATCTTGTTATCGGGCAGTGTTTTCGTCTCCTTGTTGTACAGCTCACGCATGGTGTCCAGTACGCAACATTGCCAAGGTGGATACGTTTTCGCTACCCAAACAAGACCGCGATTGGGTTTTGCAGTTTGCGCATCCAGAGCCTTCTCTTTGCCGCCCTTGCCCCTGATCTGCAGCAGATTCTTCAGGTTAAGGCGGAAGGAGTGCGCTGACTCCATTAAATACTCTGAGCACATGATATCCAGCTCATTAATTGCGCCCACATCTGGCCAACGGGCGTGCACAATGGACTCCTTGTTGCCCAGCAGGCCCCACACATGGTCAGCCATATGCGGGCAAATTGGTGCCACAAGCAGCGCCTGTCGTCGTATAAACTCCATGACGAGATCCTCATGCATACCCTGGGCGCCGCACAGCTCGCGGTACTTGTCACGCGCTAGCTGCAGCTCATAGAAGCCACTGCGCAGCGCCTCCTTGAACAGCATGCGGCGATAGTTCTCATCCGTCTGCTGTGTCTTTAAGTTGAGCTCGCTCAAGAAGACCTGATCATTAAAGGTTTTGGCCGCATCATGGCGCAGACTAGTGCGCGTCGCCAACATCTCCTTGACCCATTCAATGAAAGTGTACAGACGCAGAATACCCGCATCCGCGGTGCTCTCCACAAAGTTGGCATCCTCGACGCTGTCGCCAGCGTCGGCCAGGCACAGGCGCATGCCATCTGCCGAGAACTTGTCAATCGCCTCGTGCAGCGTCAGGAAATTGCCATCTGACTTGGACATCTTTGCCGAATTGAGCAGCAAGTGACCATTGACGCGCATACCCTTGGGCCACTTGGTTTCGTCGTTGGGCCATATGGCCGCATGATTGTACAGGCAGAAGGTCAAATGGTTCTGTATCAAATCCTTGCCAGACGCACGTAAATCCATTGGATACCAGTACTCGAACTCACGTCGCAGCACAGCCAAATGTTCCTTTTTGATGGCTGTTTTCTTAGGCAGTGGCGTCTCCTTAAAGAATATATAGTCCCAGATCTCGGCAGTCATGTCGGCAGGTGTGATGCCTATAGGGGGAAAGTGCAAAATAATGTAATCAAATAGGCTAAAAGTTTCTAAGGATCGCGCTTACCGAATGGGCCTGGCTTCTCGCCACGGAATGTGCCGCCTTGGAGCAAGTGACTGACCGTATAGAAGGCCATGTAAATGGTTGAGTCTGACAGGGATTCAATGAGCCACTGCTCATCCCAGGGCAACTTGGTACCCAGACCGTAGGTGCGCGAACAGGCGTACTCGTGCAGCCAGTTCAGGCAGGCCTCAAAGTTGTTGCGCGCCTCCTCGTGAAACGTTTCCATGTCCTGCAGTATTTTGGTTGCTTGCGCCTGCCATTCGGGTTCGCCATAGTTGAGGTACCATTGGTTGCACAGGGCCACCACGCACTCATCTGCTGAGCGCGACATTATGGTCTTCTCAGGTTCGTAGTAAATATCCGCCTCTTTGGCATCAATCATGCGTTTTTGCAGATCTTTCTTTATATCCTGGATTTTACGACCCGCAAACTCGCCTACAAGCATAACGCCATCATAAAAACCTGTTAAGATAATAAACAATAGGTGAGATTTATAATTTATCCGCTAAACCTAGTTCAAGGCTGATTTATATATATTTTCATATAAATTTTTATTATAAATCTTACTAACTATTTGGGAAATATAGAGAGATCAATTTTCATTATTTGTAGGATACGAGAATCTGATTGCTTTTGTTTTTAATTTTTGATCGGCTTTAAATATTTAAGGAGCTTTGTGAAATATTACTATTAATTACTGAATTTAATCAATGGAGAGAGCAATTATTATTTATTATTATAAGAAATACACCAACAAGGGTGAAAAATGGATGATACGTTTTCGTAAAAAGCTTTTTTTTTTCATCGATTGGTTTCAAACTCATTTAAATATATATGCTTGAAGTTTATCCGGGAAAAACATATTTCGTGGAATGCATGGCCAAAATATGAGGATATGGGGAAGTGGGAATACAATGCGCCAAAAATAAAACATTTGTTATAACCAAAGGTGGAAAATGCCAGTTTCTACATGAATAATAATAGTTACTACCTGAACAATAATATTAATATACCTCTACGTATCTTTGTTATATCTATTAGTTTTTAACAACATTTATTAAGGATAAATACTCACTCTTCAGATAGCAAAGCTCCTTGGCCTCGGCCAGTTTATCCTTGTCATTCTGCGACTGAATCTTCAGCGTGTCGTAGGCATGCACAGCAACGAGCTTGCCCAACGTGGGCACTTCGATGATGGGTATGGGCTCATATGGCAAGACCATCTCATCCTTTAGTCCGTACTTTTGCCGGAACGCTTCTTTTTTCTGCAAATCCACCAGCGCGGCATAGTCATCGGGCGAATCCGATGGCACCGAGGTCACCACGCCCGTTCCCTTGTCCGCCTTAATGCTCAGCATGGGCAGTGTGTAAATTGTCTTGTGCTTTGTCAGCGGCGCCGACAGCGGCAGACCCAACAGCTCCAGGCCCGTCACTTCGGCCAGCACAACGATATTGCCCTCTTCGGCGGTAAATCCCTGATAGGCCATGTTGCGTGCGGCACGACGAGTGCTTATCCACACCTCGTTGTCGCGCGTGCTCTGCCAGGCAATGTACTGAATGTCCGGATGTAGCCAGCAATTGGTTTGACCGTACATGGTCTCCGGACGAAGTGTCGCTGCCACCAAGTAAATGGGCTGCTTGATTGCACTATAGACGAAAATGATTGTCTTGAATTCTTTCGTAATCGAAGATAGATTCATACCTTAAAGACTTGGGCGTCTGCAACACCTTCATCTTGATAAGCGTGTATTCTTGGGGACCAACACCCTCACCGGTGGAACGATCGTGATCCATGCAGGGCTGTCCGTCCTTGGGCGAATAGATTGTATAGCGCTTGCCATACATGATCTTGCCGCGCTGCTTCAAATGGTTGAACTGCCAGCGTACAAACGAGTCGAAGTAGGGATTAGCATCTGTGGTTATGAATGTGCGCCGCCAGTCGATATGGGCGCCGATGCGCTTCAGATCCTGCACCGCCAGCGGTGGAAAGTAGTTGAGCCAGTGCTCAGCATTGGCAAACTGCTTGATATCCTCATCCTGCAGGCCCAGGCTTTGCATGATTTGCCATTGGTATTTGGCGGCACCCGTTTTGGCCACGGCTTTGCTCTTCTTACCCTTGGACTTGTCCTTGGGCACCTCGGACTGAGTCTCCTCAACGACCGGCGCTGCTTCCTGCGTGTCCGGAAAGTTGGGCGGATAACCAAACATTTCCAGCTCGCGGGCCAGCTTATCTGCGCACGCCTTAATTGGCATACCCGTGCAATGGAATCCGAAGGGCCACAGCACACGGCGGCCCTTGAGACGCTGGTATCGTACCGCAAACTCTGCCTTCGACATTGAGAATGTGTGGCCCAAGTGCAAGCGTCCATTCATATACGGAAACGGAAATGTGACGAAGAACTTTTCCGCCTGCCGCTTTTTGGGCGCCGTCGGGGCATCCGTTTCGTGCACGCGCTCCGCCTCCCAGCGCTGTTGCACTTCGAGCTCGATTTTCTGCAGGTATTCCACCTTGAAGGTGCC